CATTGGACGAGCTTGTTTTAACGGGTCCTGTGCTGCTGTTTTCTGTAAACCCATTAAAAGCATTTGAGTGGGAGTTCTGGCCGTTGCCAGAAGGGTCAGCAATGTGCGCGTATATTGTATCGCGCTGCTCTTTGCCAGTTGCAAACTTACTATATATAGTGGGATGTATTGTTCCTGTATCTCTAAATTGTTTTTTTGTAGTGAACTCTATGAACCGGCGCATTATTGAACCTCGCTGTTCCCATGTTGTATGGGTCCACATATGTTTCGCGATGCGGTTAGCCTCTGATGCCAACACCACGACGTGCGGATCGTGAGAGCGCGCTGGAATTAACGTAAACTCGTTCTTTGATGTCGTTCCCTGAGGGAGAAGTGACGATTGAAAGATTTCTTGCTGTTGATGCAGTTGTGTCTTGTGTTTCTGTACGTTTCCTGTTATAATATGTTGCGTCACCGTTTCGACGTTTGATCGAAAGAGTGCCACATTGTTGGGTGGAGGTGTCCAAGCGTGAAGGCGTTCCTTTCGTACATATCCTACTTGCCCCAAAGCCCCAGTATTCATTGTTTCCAGGGCCGTGTATTGTTTTTTTTTTTTTTTTTTTTTTTTTTTGGCTTAAAAACTTCTCTTTGCAATCGCACACTGCGCGTCGAACTGTTATGCCCTGTGCGGCGGCATCTGAAACATTTTGCCTTGCCGGGTGGTGGTGCCGAGGTTTTCTTCCGCAACTTAAATGCAGCCTGTATGTATGGATCGTCTTTTTGCAGAGGCTGAGCCATGACCTCCCTGATGTCGTACATTTTTACTCCTGGGAAATCCTTTGCCGTTTGTATTACCCTGAGTTGTGTATATATCTGTCTTCCCATTTGGACCAGCTGTGCTGATATCCCCTCGTTGCGAATGGAGTCCAGCCATTGTACAAAATTATTCCATGCATCTTGATAAAATAAACCGGGGTTAACTGGCCTGGGAAAAAGTTGCTGATAAGCCGTCGCAACTTCGCCGGGTGATGCATCCCCCAGATATTCCATCATTCCTTCAAATGTGCGAATCTTCTCTGCCGGTCTATTGCTTTCGGTCCAAATTGGTTGTCGTAATTCCTGTATGCCGCAAATGCCCAACTTCGGGTGTTCCTCAGTATGCAGTAAAGCTGGTTCCGGCTTCCATGCCTAGCTTGATAAATTTCTCCCTTTTTGTGGGGGAACCTTTGGTTCGGTTGTCCAACTTGCATCAGGAACACTCTGTTGTTCCCCTTCGTTTAATTTTTCGAGCGCCTCCTCTAGTTGAGACTGCGTCGCAGTATACTGATTGTGCATCTGCCGCAATTCCTCCAGCGTTTGGTTAAGTTGTGCGCGGGATGCTGCCAATTGTGTCTCTGGGTTTGCCAGTTGCGCTTGCGTTTTTTCCAATTGCTTCTGCGTCTGAGCCTGTTGCTTTTTCGCGAGAGGGCCTCCTAATAAATCTGTGCCATTTGGTTCTATAATTCCTGGAGTTGTATATTTGCGTTTTGTTGTACCCTAAAGTCTTCGTGTTCTAACTTTGCTCGAGCGCAGCCATACTCATAATGTAGCCTCCTCCCCCAGTGCTGCCCATTCTGCACTGAATAAATTGTATGTCGTCTCGAAAA